GTATTCGATTCGCACATCTGCGCAATGGATGGGTCCGCTTCTTGAGGACTTGGGGCTAGCATATCAGCAGATCTCGATGGAGCTTAATTCAGTAACAGACAACCCTCTCATCGATACGGCTGGTGATAATGCTCGCATCCTACACGGTGGCAATTTCCAAGCAAAGTCAGTGACGAGCGCCATGGAGAAGACCAGGCTGGCCGTTCAATCCATGGGCCGTATGCTCTACGCGCAATGCACTGAGCTGATTGATTCATCCAAGAACAACGGATTACCTCCTAATCTGTCTGCCGATGAGCCTAGCGTGTCCTTCACGTTCAAAGGTGTAGATATCATGATCGCTGCGCTACAGTCAGAGCTAGGATTCCTCGCAAATCCTATCGGGAGCCACGTCCAGACAGCCGAAATGGGTAATCAGGCCTTGAACTCGCTCGCACTGATATCGAGTCGCTACACTTTGGATGCGGTTGCTGTCTTGTCGCAAATGGCAGCCGCCCATCTCGTGGCCATCTGCCAGGCTCTCGACCTCCGTGTGATCAATATCCAGTTCATGCAAACTCTAGAACAGGACTTTATGAAATTGTTCAGCGACAGCTTCCAAGTCCACGCTGTGCCCAGCAGGAACCTCCTGGCCCTCTCCAAGGAAGCCTGGGATGCCTTTGCCAAGCAAGTGGAACAGCTACAGTCCGTTGACTCGTGCAGTCGATTTCATCAAGCCGCGCGCGCCATTCTGCCTATTTTCATTACGGCATTGCCACCAAGCACTTCCTCCCCAGGCATTATCCAATCATGGATTGATACCCTAGGCTCTCAGGCGGCTGAGACGTATCGCAAGACACGTGAGGCATATTGTAGGTGTCCAGATGCCACCCCTTACCTTGGGGAGGCGTCGCGGAAGATGTATACATATGTTCGACAGAACTTAAAGATTCCCTTCATAGTCGAGGGAACACTCTGGCGCCCGAGCGATTCAGCCAAGGCACCGAATGGCGAAGCGACGCCACCGCCCCTCCCTACGATGGGCGACGTGGTTGGCATCGCGTATGATGCCATTCGCCGCGGGTCTTTGTATACGGTAGCGGTGGAGTGTATCCGGGATGCGGAGCAAGACATGGCGCAGTGCCCTTACTGCTTTGTCAAGTAGGCAATATGCGCATCGAGAACAAGAGGCACTGGAGTTCGCTGATGGCTTTCTAGAGTATACGAGTGTGCCCTGCAAATATCGATGGTAGTAGTTACTTTGTTTTCTTTCTGTCTAATTCATCATGTCTGTCATAATATCATAGCATTTTGTTTTAAATTGATATTACCGCATTTTATTCACGTCTAGCGTTGTCTACGAAGCATTGAGTGGCACAGAAGAATGGCGAGCGATGGATGGCCCCTACCTTTGCACTGACAACATGAGGCAAATACCTCCACCATAGCACGTTACGAGAAACCCAGACAAAGAATAACAGACGTCTGTTATCGCGCCGATCGGATCAGACTAATGCAGCCTGACAGATGCCAACCGACAAAGAAAAAAGTCGAAATGGCAACACCTGGGCAGATTCAGTGGCTGCACGGGGGCCGGGCCAGATGCTGTCATCGCTGCCGGCAATCGTGCAATCGCCCTCCTCTCTTCTCCCTCCATCTCCTCCTCTCTCGGCACGCTTAACACCAGCTACTGAACTAGCATTTCTGAACGTTTACTGTGATGGACTCTCACATTAAGCACTTACTCTCCTGCTATGACCATGGTCAGCCAATATACAACCATGGTTCGTCTAGATCTCAACCAAGTTACTAACGCAGATGTAGTTCTCACCCATTCAACACCCATCATAGAAGCAGGTACACTCTTGCTGTCCAACCACAGGAACCGAGATACATAATACTAACATTGCCCCTTCTTCCCCGCAAATCGGAAGCTAATCAAGCACCTCATCCAGCTTATCATGTCATCTTCACCCCAAACATGCATGATAATCGCCGGCAAGAATCACGCCATTGCATCCCGCAATGAGCATCGTGCATGTACCACCTCATCTTTCCAGGGCCCCAGACATCGCGAGAGCTATATTAGAGCTGCAGGGTAACTCTAGAAGATGGTTATCAGAGATCGGCGATTTGACTTTCCGACACATACCCCTGCACGATGGGTTTCTTACCCTTCACTACGAAAGCAGAAGAAGCGGGCGCGACCTCGGAGCAGGCCAGCGACACCTTGAGCGTTATTGACGATGGCAATCTACAATATACGGTCGATGGGGGGGCTAACTCCTCCAAGCGCACGTACCAGGAGGCGAGTGGTGCTCCGATCGAGTCAAAGTCACCTCTGGGATACTCCGTAGGTGCGGTGACGGTTATTTTCCTGAACTTGAGTAAGATGATTGGAACAGGTGTTTTTTCGACGCGTGAGTATTCCTACCATCTTTCCAAGGCCAGGTGAGCTTTGGGTGTGGACGACAATGCTAACGGCTGGTATCAAGCATCTACTGTTCTCGACGGTGCCGGATCTGTCGGTCTGAGTCTCTTCTACTGGGTCATCGGCTTCTTCATGGCGGCGAGCATGCTCTCCGTGTATATGGAATTCGTTTCATACTTTCCCAGTCGGTCTGGCTCGGAAGTCGTATATCTGGAGCAGGCGTATCCCAGACCGCGATACTTCTTTCCAACCGTGTTTGCGATGCAGACTGTGCTGTTCTCATTCAGTAGCAGTAATGCTGTTGGTAAGATACCTGGTCAGCCAGCGGATGTTCGTAGCTAACGTGAGTTTTACTACAGTACTTGCAGAATATTTATTCAAGCTCGCGGACGCGGATACAACTGCATGGAAAGAAAAAGGTGTTGCCGTAGCAGCATACACCGTGGCTGTGCTGAGTATGTACTGCCCTGGGAGAATTTATGGACTGGTCTAATAATGCCAGTGCTGGCTTTCAACACGAAATGGTCTCTTTGGGTGGCCAATGCTATCGGTGTTGTCAAGCTAGTCACTTTGATCTTGTACGTGTACTACGCATCTCTCTAGTTTATCGAGACTGACGAGACAGTATTGGTATCGCTGGCCTCGTCGTCCTGGGAGGTCATACCCCAGTGAAGGACCCCTTGGTCAACTTCCGCGATGCTTTCTCAGGAACCTCTGGCGCATCGGTGTACGGGGCCACCAACGCTTTAGTCAAAGTGATGTTTTCGTATGCCGGTTACGAGAATGCTTGCAATGTTGTCAATGAGGTTAAGGTAGGCAATCATTCTTCGTGTCTGTTACTACCGCACTAACGTGATATACCATAGGATCCTGTCAAGACCCTTCGCTGGAGTGCTCCTGTTGCCCTCTTTCTTACAGCCGTGCTCTACATCCTCGCCAACATTGCTTACTTCTCCGCTGCGAGCAAAGAGGAGATCCTGAACTCGAATGTCACAGCAGCGAGTCTGTTCTTCGAGAAGGTTTTTGGCACATCAGGGGCTTCCAGAGCTCTGAATGTTCTGGTCTGTCTCAGCGCGCTGGGTAACCTTCTGGCTGTGCTGATCGGTCAGTCCCGTATGTTGCGAGAGTGTGGACGGTATGTCATATCGCATCAAATCAGCTGGCGCCGATCTAACGTTTGCCTGGTACAGACAGGGTGTTCTTCCCTTTACGAGATTCTGGACCTCGACTCGTCCTTTTGGAACACCCCTGGGACCCTACTTCATCAAATGGGTACTCACGGTCATTATGATCATCGCGCCTCCCGCTGGAGATGCCTTTAACTTCAGTACGTACCTACCTGCTACTGTTTCGCACATATCTAATCTTTGTGATATAGTCGTCGACTTGGCCATCTATCCAGGCAACGCTTTCAACTTTCTTCTGGCAATAGGTATCCTCATCACTCGACACCGGCGTCAGCGACTCAACTTCCCTCCATCCGGCTACAGAGCCTGGACTATATCCGTTTACTTTGCCATTCTCTCAAGTCTGTATATGCTCGTTGCGCCATGGTACCCCCCGTCCACCGGAGCAGATGGTGGAGACGTCAGCTTCTGGTATGCGACGTACTGTGTCGTGGGGATTGCAATGTGAGTTACCGTTTGATAACCTCTGTTGTTGCAACATATTCAGACAGCATCGCTAATAACATATGACATCGATAGTATCGCCGCTTGCGGAGTCTACTATTACCTCTGGGTCAAGATCCTCCCCCGGGTAGGCGGTTACGAGCTTCGTCAGACGATTATCAATGTCGGGGGTGATGCGACTGCACATAAGTTGGTCAGGGTGCCAAAGGCGCAGGTGGAGGAATGGGATCGGGAGCATGATGCTTCAGGAAGAGTGAGGAGGAGACATCATACTACTGAGATTGTCACGAAGACAGAGGAGACAGCTTAAGCAGGAAGGGGTATTCGCTTAGTGTTTTAGATTATGGTGTAAAATGAGTCCCTCTTTCGAATAATCATCGCACTTGTACCGATGTGTGCCCTTTTTTTAAATCCAATTACTTCTGGAGTATGATATCACGATGGCTAATAATGAGCGTGTGGCCAATCAACACAAACGTATTCGACATTCGTATTCTGCCATCACATGATGTATCATGTGCCAGCCTATGTGTTCGTTCTCTTCCATTGTCCAGTTGGAGAACTGAAATCACCGATTCCTGGCCACTAATATTATATCCTTGCCTTACTCCATTCAATCTTCGTACGAAGACCACTACTAAGATAGACCATTATACACACCATGCTAATGTTTCTATATCCTCTTGTACTTTAAAACTCATTCACGTCTCAACAAGTCATCTTCAACTGACGAGGTTGAACCGGAACCCGCCCTTGGACGCGCCCGCAACACTCACTCTATAGGGAGCATCCCAACATCTCACCCCTCTAGAGAAGAACAGGGTTGAACCGTTCCACAGAACTGATCTACACTTTACGACGTATACCATTTTTATCGGAAATAATATCCGACTACACACAATAAACTAGAAATGGGCACCCCCAAATCGCAATCGACTTCCCCAGCCTCAAGCGGCACAAAGCGAACCGCGATCGAAGAACCAGATACCACCACCGCCCGGGAAACCAAAAAGACCAAAAGCGTTCATGTGCATATACACGATGAGTTCACGGACAGAAACGAAGAAGCAGCATCATCATCAGCCCTGCAGATTATACCATTTCCAGAAAAGGTGAACTATCACTACTACTTTCCGACCCACTCCGACTCTCAACATATAAATAACCCCACTAGTACTGCGCAGCATAAACTAACATAACACAGCCCTCCATCCACGAAGAACGCAACCACGAAATCTCCTACATCGTAGTCAACAACGACTCCCATCCCCAAAGCACCATAATCCTCACGGGGCTAAAATGTCTCTTCCAGAAACAACTCCCCAAAATGCCCAAAGACTACATCACCCGGCTCGTCTTCGACCGCACCCACCTCTCCCTCGCCATCATCAAACAACAACAACAACAACAACAACAACAACAACCTCACCTCCATGAAGGCCCCGGGACCCCAGAAGTCCTCGGCGGCATCACCTTCCGCGAATTCCGCACACGGCAATTCGCCGAAATAGTCTTCTGCGCTGTAACCTCCCACCAACAAGTAAAAGGATACGGCGCACACCTCATGGCCCATCTCAAGGACTACGTCCGCGCCACAGGGCCAGTCATGCACTTCCTCACGTACGCAGACAACTACGCGACGGGATACTTCCAAAAACAGGGATTCACCAAGGAAATCACCCTACCGAAGGCAACCTGGATGGGATATATCAAGGACTACGAAGGCGGGACACTAATGCAGTGTTCAATGCTGCCTAAGATCCGATATCTAGAGGTGGGACGGATGCTACTGAAGCAAAAAGAAACAGTCCTAGCGAAAATGCGCGCACTAAGCAGGAACCATATCATACATGCACCGCCTAAAGAATGGAAACTGAAAATCACACCCATAACCAATCCCCTCTCCATCCCCGCCATCCTCGCAACAGGCTGGTCGCCAAGCATGGATGATTTCTCGCGCGAACACCGCCGCCACGGACCACAGTTCAATGAGATGCGACGGTTCCTTAACGAGATCAGGAACCATAAGCAGGCGTGGCCGTTTCTCAGTCCTGTGAGTAGGGACGAAGTGCCGGAGTATTATGAGGTGATTGAGCAGCCGATGGATTTGGGGACCATGGAGGAGAAGTTGGAGAGGGATGAGTATGAGGGTCCGGAGCAGTTGATGGCGGATTTGAAGTTGGTGTTGGGGAATTGTAGGTTGTTTAATGAGCAGGGCACGGTGTATGTTAAGTGTGCGGGGGGGTTGGAGAGGTTTGTGAGGAGGGTGGTGGGGGAGATGAGTGGGTGGGAGGGGTTGCTTGATTGATTTATTGATTGATGGGTTTGGTGTGAGAGAAATTTTGGTTGTCTTGTTACTACGGTGTTGGGGCTATTGCTTGGTGTGTTGTGGTGGACGGAGTTGGGGTTGGGGTTTGGATACTTGGATTGGGATGATAATGCAGTTGGTAGCCAAGGTGGTCTTAGGAAATTCTCTCGGGGATATGATATCAGGAACAAAAAGGCGTTCGGAGTTGGGTCTCTTTTACATGAGGCTGTCTACAGTATAACGTTATACTGTCTTAGTCAAGACTCCGGTTCCTTAACTTAGGCATCATGTTAGATACAATGTCATCATAATCATTATCTATTACGGAGGACCTAACATCCTCCTTCAATCTAACAAACCAACAATACCATCAATTAATAAACAAATGAATTAAAGGGACAATCACAAAAACAACCACATCCCCACCCTCTTCACCTTCCCCACCACCCCCTTCTCACTCCTGAACCCTCCATCTCCATCCCCATCCCCATCCACCCCATCATCATCCTCAACTTCTCTCCCCCCCACAACCTCCAAATTCCACCGATCCGTAACCAAATCCATAACCTCCAACTTGACCAACTTGGTCCTCTTCACCAACTTCCACACCAAAAACATGACCAACATAATCGGCAACTCGATATAATACGAGACGAAGTCCACGGCCTTGAAATGCGGACTAAAGCAGGACCAACCCTGCACCAGAATCAGAATGACGTTCAGTCCGATAGCGAGAATCGGTCCCACGGGATACGTCCAGTTCTTGTACGGGAGGAGATGTTCCAGGTTCTGTTTGCGGATGGCGGCGCGGAAGCGTAGGGAGGCGAGGCCGATGAAGGTCCAGGAGAGTTGATTGGAGACGCCGACGATACTGTTGAATAATGTTAGTAATTAATAGGTTTATTTGGAAAAGATGGAGGGGGAGCATACTTCTGCAGCCATGACCATAGTTGGCCTGCGCCAATGTAGCTCGCTCCGAAGCAGAGTCCACTGATTACGGAGGTGGCGAGGACCGCTACCCAGGGGACTTGGAAGCGGTTCAGGTGGCCGAAGAATCGTGGCGCGTAGCCGTCTACGGCGAGGGTGTAGAGAAGACGGGAACCGGCGAAGAGGGCGTGGTTGGCGGCGGAGATGACGCTGGTCATGATCACGGCGTTGATGAAGCTGCCGGCCACAGCACTGCCGGCTTCGACGAAGACGATGGTGAAGGGGCTGGTCGCGGTGGTTTCGGAGGATAGATTCGGGTAGTTGTAGGGGACGTCGAGGCCGATGAGGACGATGGAGACAATGTAGAAAAGGATGATGCGCCAGAAGACGTTGCGGACGACTCGGGGGAGGTTCTTGGCGGGGTCTTTGGTTTCACCGGCGGTGATGGCGATGGATTCGGTACCGCCGCTGTGAGTTGGTTAGTAGGAGATTTGGTGAGATGGTGGAGGGTACACGTACTAGGCGAAAGAGGCTGTGACGAAGACGGACGCGAAGCCGCCGATGCCTCCGACGAAGGGGGCTTCGCCGGTGTAGAAGTACTTGTTGCCGATGTATTTATGCTGGGTGTTTGCACCACAGTTGACGACGATGCCAAGGATGATGAAGATCTAGCTTTGATTAGTATGTTGTTAATATTTGGTAGAAGTAGGGGACATACGATGATAGTCACCACCTTGAGAAGACTAAGCCAGTATTCAACCTGAGGATAGTCAGCATATGAAAGTCTACTAGAGAGCTGTGACAAACCTCGCCATAAACCTTGACCGACAGCATATTTAGAGCGATAACCACAACCAAAAAGATCAAGCTTATCGCCCATCCCGGGAAATTATCCGTCCAATACTCCAGCAGCAACTGAAGCGCAATAATATCCGACGCCGTCGACACCGCATCATTGAACCAGTAGTTCCAGGTCAGAGCAAAGCCCAGAGCATCATCAACAAAACGACTATTTCATCATCAGCATACCATCATTCACAACCGCAAGACCAACTAAGTACTCACCCAGCAAAAGTACAAAACGAACCCGCAACAGGGATAAACGCCGCCATCTCACCCAGCGACAACATGGTGATAAACACAATGACACCACAGATGGTATACGAGATCAACATCGAGGCCGGCCCACCAGTGGCCAGCGCCTTACCCGTTCCCAGGAACAGACCCGTACCAATGGTGCCGCCGATGGCGATCATCTGCACCTGGCGGGGAGAGAGCTTCCGGGCCAGCTTATTCGCGTTGATATATGGGATCTCTGGCTCCAGATAATCAGTCGCTAAGGTGCTGGGGTCCTTGGCATTACGCTCAGCCATGGGCTCGCCAGGAGCCATAGGGCGTTGCTTTTCGATGTCATGAACACCCATGGTGGTGGTGATCTAGACGCTAAGAGGGCCATGTTAGCTTAGCTATGTCGTACAATGGGAGATATCGGAAGTATGCCGAGACTCACCGATGATTTAGATTTGAACCAGTCAATCTCAGCCTTATAGTTGAGCTCTTCCCGAATAGGCAAGTGCTGGAGACTGGGAGGAGAGACAACCACGTGATCCACCGTGGAGAAGCTCAAAAACCGGCAGTCAAAAGTGGAAGCTGAAACTACTAGTGATCTAAGTTGTAGATACTAGCAGTAGTGTCTGCACGGCACGCATGAACGAAAAAAAGATGTTATCAAAAGGAAGAGTGCATCCCCGCGAATGACACTCATGTCGCCATCACATCCTGACGCTGAAAATTTGCTCTTTAGCGGATGGCGTGCTCGATTGGTGTTACGTACAGCAAATGGAAGGGCGAGGGAATCCTTGGGGGATGAAGAGACCGTTTGCCGACTGCCGCCCTGGGGTTCTCCACCCGCTCGGCTAACTTTAAACCATACATAGTACAAGAGGCAGCTTTGATCTACTAGATTCACTACATATCACCACATTCAATCAATCAAGGAATCCCCCAAGGATAATTGTATCGTGCTATGTACATGGCTATGCTGCCGGAATCTCATAAACTTTTGACACTCTCCGCTGATGAACAATGAAAGAAACTGAGACAGAAAGGGATATATCCACCAAAGACATAATAATGTATACACTTCAAAATCACCCCAGCAAGCCCGCAGCCAGCGACTCCAGATCTTCCAGAGTCTCGATCTGCTCCGGTGCTTTGCCAGCCGGTTGAGACTTCTTGGCCTTCTTGGGTTTGGGCTCCTCTTCGCTTGCTTCGTCTGCAAAGGAAACCCGCGCCTTCTTGCTGGGCCGGAGGACTTCCTCGTCTTCGTCCGAGGCGAGCCCACCCTCCTTGTACGGAATCTGGACCAAATCCCCTCCTTCCTCCTCCATGGCAAGAAGCTCGCGCTCGCGGGCCTTGCGCTTCTCCTTCTTCTCGCGCTTCTTCTGCTTGGCAACTTCCTTGTCCTCCAGATCCGCTTGCCGAGTGCGCTCCGCCTCCTCCGCCAGGAACTTCGCCTGCTGCTCCTTGGCGTCGCCCTTGGCCTTGAACTGTTCTTCATCCTCCATTTCGTAGATCTCATGGGCGTTGCCCTCATCATCGTAAATAAGCTTGGTACCCTTGCCCTTGAACTTAAGCAACTTCTTCTTCGACTTGAGCAGCTTCTCACGACGTTTGGAGTCGATGACCAGGGCATCCTTGCCATCAAGGTGTACCACCTTGGGTCCCTTCTTCTCCGTTCCGTCCTCTGCATCCTCCTCATCCTCGGAGCTAGATCCTGCGACATCCAGGTCCTTGTCTCCGGCCGCGAAGCGACGCTTGACGGACAGGAAGTCGTCATCCTCATCCGCATCCGCAGTAGCCTGGTTCGTCTCCACAATCGTGCCGTCGTCGTTGATAAGCTTGTGGTAATGGTCGGCCAACACGTCCTGGTTCCGACGCTCGAACATGCGGTCATACTTCGTCCGCACCTGCGTCTCATCCTTCTTGGTCTTCTTCTTCTCGCCCTCTTCGCCAGACTCGTCATCGCTGGACAAGTATGCCGTAGCACGTGGCGCGTTCTTCCGCTCCTTGGTATCGTCACCCTTGATGAACTTGATGCGGGGTGCACCAGGAAGACCCATGCTGCCCGCAAACTCATCCAACTTCAGCTCCTTGATATTGAAGATTTCCTTGTCCTTCTGAACGTAGACCGACTTGGCGTAGGAGATGAAGGCCTTCTGGCCCAGGTACTTCAACTCGGGGTCCTTGAAGCACATATTCTGCAGCTGATCTTTGATGCTCTGTTGCTTGTTGGCCTTGATGTTGATGCGTTCGACCTGAACCTTCTTCTGCTCCAGACGCTTCAACATGCCCTTCTCCTCACTAGGATCCAGGAAGAGCACGGCACGACCATCGCGCTCGTATCTTGCTGTACGACCAACACGGTGAATGTATGTATCAGCGTCTTCGGGACAGTCAAGCTGGATAACCCAGTCGACGGCCGGGAAATCCAGACCACGCGCAGCAACATCAGTGGCGAACAGAACCGCATGTTGCGCCGATGAGAATTTGGTTGTAATATCGAGTCGACCACCCTGCTTCTGACGTCCGTGGAGGTGCATCAACGGAATACCGGGTTGCATGTGACGGAAAGATTCGTAGACAAAGCGCACCTGCTTTCCTGACGACAGGAACACGATCGTCTTGGACTTCAAGTTGCTGCGAATGAAACTCCAGAGAACATCGAGTTTCTGCGGAAGGGGCGTAACGACGTAGTGTTGCTGAAGCTTGGACGGCGTCGCGGAGGAGGCCGTTTCATGAACAGCCACATATTCGGGGTCCTGCAAGCTCAGTCGAGCCAAGTCCGACACCTTCTTCGTCTGTGTAGCACTGAAAAGTAACGTCTGGCGCTCTTTCGGAAGATGACCGATAATGGCGTCCACCGTCTTCTGGAAACCCATATCCAAAATGCGATCCGCCTCATCCAACACGAGCATCTGCAGGTTGTGCGTCTCAAAGAAAGAAGTCTGATCCAAGTGCTGCAACATACGACCAGGCGTACACACCAGAATATTCATCCGTCCCAACCTCTCTTGCTCCTCCCGCAGACTCTTCCCACCAATGACCAGACCGGCGGAGAACGTGTGATAGCGACCGACTTTACGGAGGACTTCGAAGATCTGAATCGCGAGTTCGCGGGTAGGAGACAGAACCAGAGCACCCAATCCATCGTGCTCTGACCACTGCTTGCGATATAGGTTTTCCAGGATGGGAATCAGGAAGGCCAGCGTTTTGCCGCTTCCCGTCTTTGCGGCACCAAGAATATCGCGGCCCTTGAGCGCATGGCTGATCGCACGGGACTGAATGTCGGTCAAGGTTTTGTAGTGAGACGAGGCAAGTCCGGACGCGGTGGGTTCAGACAAAGGCAGATCGGTGAATTGTCCGATGGTTTCCTTGACATCCAAATCTTCGACCCTCTTGATGAGAGAGTTCAAATCTTCTTGGACACGCTTGCGCTTGAGGTTACCGCCGCGCTGAGCTTTCGAGTGTTTGCCATTGCGGGAACCGTTCATCGGAGCCATGATGGGCTCGTCCAGAAAAAAATACTCACGTAAATGAGCACTAACGAAGGAAAGCAGACAAACGAAAGTGAACTGGTTGCTGGGGAGAGAAAGCGAATCTCGAAGAAAGGCCCGGGCGGTGAAGCAACTTTTTTCTCTTCGGAGTTTAACCTCGCGGGTTCCTGCTGACTCATCGCCGCGATAAGACGGCGCTTATCGGCGTGTGCCTTTCAGCAGCCATGCGACAGTCCCGACCTGGCGAATTCCTTCATTCACTCCCCAACCTCTATCACCATGGCCGACGATGAGCAAGATGCTTTGGACGCGCTTGAGCGTGAGGCCTCTGACTTTGTCAAGGTATGCTGCCTCGGAACATTTCCACTACAATGACACCCAGACTAACTTTAGACAGGATGCAGAAATTGACCGCATTCGGAAGGCGTTCTCCTTAGACGCGTGAGTTACCGGCCTCCTACTATACCTACTTTGCATGCTGCTATAGACATATGAACGGGCTGACGGACAGAATATTCAACCAGCTACGCGGTCCTTGATCTCCAACCAGGTGTCCCCGAATCCGACATCAAAGTCCAGTACCGCAAAAAGTCCCTTCTCATCCACCCCGATAAGACGAAGAACCCGGCCGCCCCCGATGCCTTTGATCGCCTGAAGAAAGCGCACACCGCGCTTATGGACGAAAAGTCGCGCACATATCTAGACGAATGTATCGCGGACGCGCGACGACTTTTGATCCGCGAACACAAGTACTCGCTAGACTCGGAAGAGCTAAAGACAGACGAATTCAAGAAAGAATGGCGCCAGAAGACAGTGCAGGTACTCTTAGAGGAAGAGGCACGGCGGCGAAGACAAGCCAAGGCCAAGCTTCAGGAAGAAGGTCGGGAGAGGCGCAAGGAAGAAGAGGAGTTGGAGGCGCGGAAGCGGAAACGGGACCAGGATAAAGCATGGGAAGATAGCCGTGAGGAGCGCATAGGCAGCTGGCGAGATTGGCAGAAGGGGGTGAAGAAGGATGGGGACAAGAAGAAGAAAAAGAAGATGAAGGTATTGGGGTGAGACTGGGCAGGTGTGCCAGTTGCCTGCAAGACTTGCAGTGGTAGAAGTATTTCAACTTGGTCAACTGGCGTTGAGCGGATATATTTGCACCCGGGACGGACTGGTGATCATAACATCACCATGATTATATTGCTATTTACCACTACTGTTCTTTCATACCATTGATTATTAGTAGCTGTCTGTCACATTACCATAGCCCTTAAAGCTTTTGACATGCAATGGTCATCCACCCGAATATAAACTCTGCTGTTTACTTGATTTCCTGCATAGAATCATAATCTCAGCCGCGATAAGAAAGCGGTCAAGGCAGATGCGGGGCAGAAAGAACATTCCAGCGCCTTTTTTATTATCTTCCCCTCCATCGCTCGGGTTCATGTGGCCTCTCCGCAATCATCCGTCGTGTCTGAGAGCTGCATTTTTGAGAATTGTTTGGAATTGCATGTGTCTCATCCCTTTATAATTGTCCCTCTTATCTTTACTATTCTCGCCCGATAGAAAGACATACACCCTTGCGTTGCACCTCGGACCCTTTACCGACAGATAAACCACACAGCCAACCGGCTTACATCAATCCCTCCCTCTGTTAACTACCCCCCGCGAGTCATCGCATCCACTCCATACCCTAGCTACTAACTAGTACTACTCCAACCACCTCAACCCTCACTCCTTCCCTTCCCTTCTTCCTTTTCTCACCCATATATATACACATACACATACATATCAACACCCTCCTACCACGACCACCAATCAATCAATCAATTACCCACCATGACCGACTCAATACCACCCACCCCCAATGGCCTACCCACCACCACATCAACACCACCACCACCAACAACCTCAACCACAGACACAACCACCACAACCACATTTCCACCCACAACAACCCCCTCCCTATCCAGCATAATCACCCACTGCCACACCAAAATCCACACCTTCCTCTCAGAATCCCACCCAGCCGACTCCCTCCTGGCCAAAGTCCAACTCCAAACCCGCACCTCCCTCAACGTCATCTCCACCGCCCTCCACCGGTACCCTCTCAACGAGCTCTCCCTCTCCTACAACGGCGGCAAAGACTGTCTCGTGCTCCTCGTCCTCTTCCTCGCCAGCCTCCACCCTCACCCCGCCCCAGAAGACGGCGGCCTCACCTCCATCCCCGCGATCTACGCCCTCCCGCCGGACCCCTTCCCAGACGTCGAGGAATTCGTCCAATGGTCCGCCCGCGCATACCATCTCAACGTACTCAAGTACACGACGGACCCGCCGCGCTCAACAATCAAATCCACCTTTGAGGATTACCTGTTCGTCAACCCGGGAGTGAAAGCGATTTTTGTCGGCACGAGACGGACGGATCCCCATGGTGCTAAATTGACCCATTTCGATCGCACGGATAGTGGGTGGCCGGATTTTGTGCGCGTGCATCCGGTTATTGATTGGCATTATGCGGAGATTTGGGCCTTTATTCGCCATTTGGGGCTGAGGTATTGTGGGCTTTATGATAGAGGGTATACGAGTTTGGGGGGTACTGCGGATACGCATCCAAATCCGAAGTTGAGGGTCGAGGTGGATGGTGAGGATGCTGGGGAGGGGGTGGAGGAGGGGCGGTATAGGCCTGCTTATGAGTTGACGGAGGATTTGGAGGAGCGGTTGGGACGCAATTGATTGTTTGCGGCAGTGTCGATGTTGGTTTTGGCCGTTGTCTGAGTCGAGGATACTCGTCGTCCGCTCAATGCTCCCTTCTCCGTGTATAGACCTGTTTTGGAGTCAGACCCTATGTACTCTTTGCCTCCCCTCCTATACCGATGTGTTTCCCCGCATGTCACTCCTGAGCGTTTCACTCTCTTCTCTCGTGTTGCACCATTACTATCCGATAGATGCATACACTGGCTGCATGTCTTCAACTTGTTTGGCTTACATTCGGCACCGTGATGGTCGCAGTTGCATAACGCTTTCCATTGACAAATTGTAGACTGCGCTGATAACTTGATGCTAAGAGCTAAACATGCATGGCTAGGCAAATGCTAAAGTACCACTTATGTCCTCCCAACCTGTGAATTCCCTCTCGCCGTAAACCTTGGGCCTCCAGGGTCCAGCGGTAACAGATACAGACCTTTAAATCGGCATCACTCTGCGAATCATAGAATCACTGGTGTCATCAAGAAATCAAGAACAGATAACAAAACCCATACAACCTACAAAAGCTCGAAACCAGCACAAAACTTCGAAATGGGCAACAGTTAAAAAGGGGAAACAAAATCATATGTTAGTCAACCATGCACCATTGTAAGATATGCGGGTTCTGACGGATAGCTGGACAGCCTGCTGTGTTCGTCGAAGATGCTTCATGGAAGGGCAAAAAGGCGAGCCGTGCAAATACCAAAAGTCACTCCTGAGAGTTGCAACACTTGGTGTTTGTAGGAAACATTGGGAAGAGAGAGGATGCGTACATATGGAGGACTTGGGGCACTTCAAAACCACGGTGCTGCAATCCAAGCATCACTTAGACAACCGACCGAGGCGAAGTCACAATAACCTCCCTGCGAGAGGAAATCGGAGACAAGGATCCTGCCTTGATCTCCTTACGAGGGCTGGATCGTTCCGAACGAGATTCAACGCAGGACGCGGTGGGAGTGGCGAAATTGGCCTTGGAGGAAGAGCCCGAGGAATTTTCATTCCACACTCCACGTCGTCCACGATACAAAGGTGTATTCTCCAGACCTCCTGGTCCATTGCGGGAAGTCCACGAGTTGAACCTCATGTTGCTAGCCTGACTCTTCGCCAAATACCTGCTTGTCCTGTCAGTAGAGCCCGAACGGGGTTAGATCCATGAGTGCATACGATGGGGAGATGGATGTAGCAGGAGTCCAAGCTGCGCCCATGCCAACAGGTGACACATAGCTACCCTGCGAATTGGGGCTGAGGTGAGATGCAGTCTGCTGAAGACGGTTAATAGAAGGCGATGGAGTGGAACCCTGAACTACCTCGACGGAATAATTGTATTCGCCAGCACGATAGGCGCGGCGCTCGTTACTCTGCTGCTTGAGAAGTTTCTGGGCCTTGGTGTCGGCGAAGCGAAGAAGCAATTTCACACCGTCTTTGGCAACCGCATTATGATATTCAGACAGGACTTTTTCAGCGATTTCACGGGTTTCAAACCTAGTACGAGGTCATCAGTCCAAGGATCATACCTTTCATCCGAGTGTTCTGTAACAACTACTCACCGGGCAAATCCAACTTCCTTGCTCACTCCAGTCTTCTCGTCACGGCTGATCTTCTCCGAGATGACATGGTACGGCTCAAAGTGATGACGGAGATCCTGTAGTTATGGTCAACTTTATTTGTATGGTTTCTTATTAGAGCTTGCTGCTTACGGCCTCTGTCCACTCAATCGGAATGTTGGTACAATAGATGTTAGTGGATGACTTGTCTTCAAGGTCCTTGAGACGGGAGTTGCGAGATTTCTAGAATTGTTAGTTGCACGGTACGATGGCTGGTAGCTTGAAATATACCTGAGCAAAGCTAGCTTGGTAGCCAAGATAGAAGAAACCACGAATGCAATTCTCACAGGACTCAAAGTTGTAGTACTGAACAAAGCCGAATCTATGGGTGCAGTCAGCACATAGCTCATCAGTCCGTGGAACAGGCTCTTGCATACCCTTTGCAAAGGCCTGTATCCAAGTCCACAATCGCTTTGCATCGATCTATCTTTCCAAAGCGAGAGGCATAGGCATGCAGCATCTCATCCGTAGTCTCTGGAAGGAAGCCTCGGATGTAGACGTTGGTAATGCCCTCCCGGTTTTCCAGGCACTTGGCAAGGGTCAGTTCAGAAGGGTTAGTCCACATAGCCGGTACAGCCCGTGGAATAGGCGGATCTTGCTGGGTTAGGCTTTCCAGATCCTGAAGGATGTATCCAGTAGGAGTCTTCATCATCTGGAAAGGTAAACATGCAGGTCCCGACTGGGGAAAGCTATTATAACCATAGCTAGGCAGTCCAGGGCCTTCCAGGTTCGGGGTGGCTCCATGGTAGAAGTCGCCTGCAGGGCTGGGAACCACTGGGCATGGGGAAGCTAAGCCCGGATAGATGCCAGTGGGGGGTAGATACGGGTTCTGATCATAAGGAAGACCTCCGAAGAAAGCTCCATTGGGGAGAAGAACAAGGGGATTATAAGGGGGCACAGCTAGCGGCATGTTGCTCTTGAGACCATTGTACTTGGCCCCGGGACGCTGACCCTGGATGTTCAAGCCCCCGAGCAGAGTGGACAGTCCACGAGTATCAGGAGCCTGAGCGGATTCTGGAACAGCAGTATGCATGGTGCCGTATCTATGCGAGTCAATCTCTGCAGTAATTGTCAGTGATGTTGGGTTTGAGCACCAAAAAGGTAGGTAATGAAATGGACGTCGACACAAGATAGGTGCTTCAGACCAACAGGGATTAACACTTACTTGGACCAGCAGAATAGCCGTGCGGATCGGGGGAGTTGGGATCTGTAGTGGCAGTTAGTTAGGAAGCAAGATCCAAACCCCCAGATAACATAACATACACGATAATAGAGTAGCTAGGGAAGATGGAAGTAAGCCAGTACGCAACGAATGACTGGAACACGGTGAAGATGATGTGGGAGCTGAAGAAGTTGAAGGATGAAGAGGGGTCGACATCGATAGAAGGTCGCTGTTCGTAGCAACTGCCTTTCTGGAAGAGTGTGTTGAGTGGAAGCCACTCTGGGCAGGAGCATTGAAGGCACCACTTTCCTTCCGGCGGAGTCGATGAAATGACGCGTCAGGAACCTGGACGTATCCTGGGTTACCAGACCCGTTCTGGTCATCAAAGACTGAATGGTTCATGTTGGCCATGCCTATTGGGGATACTTGATGGCTGGTATCAGAGTAGTAGTAGTAGTAGTAGTAGTAGTAGTAGGATGAGACGGGTTATAGTTATCCGGTTACGGGAAGGAATAGAGATGTGGAAGAGAACAAGAATTCTATCTAGAAGAGATCTACGCGGGGATATGGACCCGACAGCGGAGCAAACAGTATAGACAATCCACTCTGGATTGTGCGAGATGAAGTCCGGACTGCAACACATTTTTCATTCCCTTTCATTCATTCGCACTTCTAAGCGGAGATTTGCGGGTCTGTAGCTGTTGGTGGATCACAGTCAGGCGGGTCAAGTATACAGTTGGAAAGATCCGCTGGAGCACGACTGTTTAACAAGCTAGTGGAGGGATAAGTTCAAGCCTTGTTAAGCGGGGGGGTTGTTGGTCCGGATCATGGTCACCAAGGTCTCTGTGTGATTCACACATCGCTGCCGAGCCTTTGATGTGATGTAGGTTAGTTATCCCAAGTCCAAGAAAGTGGTACTGCAAAGCATAGCAAAGAACATGTGCAGATACGGCAGTGCAAGTTGCGAACCTCATCTTACCATAACTAATCATTATTTCTCTTCAGATCCTAGCTGCCACACTCAATGTAGCCTGCGCAAGGCTTCTATCATAATCTTTACTTCATCAACGTTCATCATGCCCACCGAGTCCACAATTTCTTCCTGGAGACTCGGCTCGCAGGTCAGGAACCTCTCAATCAGCTCGCCATCCACAAAGCGATACGGCTCTTTCGCCTCTCGCACCATGCTGCGGAAGCCACGGAACTCATTGAATGGAATGTTCCCCAGCGACTCGACCTTGCCCGCCATGGTTGCCTGCAGACGCATCAAGAAGTCCTGATGCTCTGGGTTGATAATAGCAAAGAGATAGATGGAGCCTTCCACCTGTTGGGTTAATCATAGGGGTTAGTCACAGGTGTTCAGCACTCAAGCGGTTGGGATGGGATTCATACTGTGCCCAGAAAAGCCCTCGGGGTGACCGTCACACTCGCCAATTGTTGAATATTGACCGGTCGGATGCGGTTGACCATCTCGCCCAATGAGATCTCCCCTGTTACCTCCAGTCTGCGCTTGTCGTCTTCCTCCACACCGGTCAGATTGCGTCGAAGGACAATTAAGTTACCTTCAGCGTCAGTTTCCAGGAATGTGTCCTTGGCAATACAGGCAACGCCAGTGGCCCAAACGGTCTGGAAATGACGAGCGACTTCTGTCAAGCTATCCGGCATTCCATTCTCGCCTTCGCTGTACTCCACCAGGCATACACTCTTCATAAGGTCGGCGACGGCAATCACGTTACCCGTTACGGTGACGTCGACGGGGGCGGTCGATGTGCGGTAGCTGGCCAACTTCTCGAGCTTCATCGCGCCAAAGTCGTTGTTCACCACACCATAAATGACGACCTGAACCATATGAGCTTTGTGGAAGGAGCACAGCCAAAGATATCCAGAAGCTTACCGTTTTCACAAGAGCGGCCACAATCTTCTCTCCTAGCATAGCCAGCGCGCGGCATGCACCTTTGACAGGCAACTCGGCGACTTTAGTCAATTTTCGACCGTTGTCAATCTCGAAGACCAATATCCGACCTCGGATTGACTCTTCGTTTTCATCATCTAGGTATGCTGTCCCCACAACGAACCGATCTTTGAATACGTCCCGACCATTTTCATCCTTGCCCGCAGAAAACTCCGCGCGAATGACACTCTCGACCAACTCCTCCGGCCGAAGGTCAAAGGCGTCGAGACGACGGAACATGATCTCATCAGCTAACACAAACCGACTTTGAACCATCTCGGCCCCGTCCTTCAATTTGCGCTCGATGGTGCCGATACCGAAAGCCTTCTCAGAAGGTGAATATGCTACCCTACGGGCAGTTTCGCCCATGGGGAGCGTCTGGATCTGTGTTGTCCTCTCCTTGTCCACGAGAGCAATCTTCAAGTCGTGCTTAGTGGCCACGGCAATCGATCCAGGATACGCCTCCGAGTTGAAGTGGCATACCCGAGACGCACCTTCCGAATTGACCGCAGAGTAGATGATGCGGCCTTCGGAGCCGTATATCAAGCTGGGGTTCTCGCATGTGGCGAAGACATTATACAATCCATCGCCGCGAGGCAACTTCTTAAACGTAGGCTGCTCAGACCCGAGTATGAGCCGGTTCATCCCGGTCAGTGAGTAGTCACTGGCGTCGAAGGAGTAAGTGATAACGCTGCCATCTGCCATCGAAATAAAAAGGGTAGAGGGGCTATTCGCAAGGACATCGGCGACGAGTACTGATCGTGGAAATGCTTCACCAGCTGGGCCTAGCGACGTTGTATGAAGCTCCGATAGCCGGCCAAGGTCCAAAACCGAGACCTTCGCTAATTGAGGGAAGCCAACGATACAGACCCCAGCAGAAGATAAGGGCACCGTGACTCCTGAGATCTGGCTGTCTGCTCCGAAATCCTTCTGAGTCACAACCCGAACATCATTGTTGATATCGAGGACTGTCAGAATCTGGCCGCCGCTGACAAGAACAATCGAATCATTGTTGGCAGAAGCAGAAGTGATCACTAATCGGTCCGGCGGGGTCCATTCATTGGTGACCATGCCGCCTTCAATATCTGCGATGAGGACTCTCTGTTCGGTGACCTGCAAGATTCTTCCTCCAGGAAGGTTCATAGCGAGGAGTGTGTTCTCCGAGAGGCTGAGACCAAGAAAGCTGTCCAACTCTTCAACTTCGCCATCAAAATTAAATTGAAAGACTCGAGTCTCATCGACAAAGGTGACGAGAAGAGTGTCCAAGTATCCACCCTTTGTCGCAAGCTGCAGTCCGAACAAGTCTGTAATGAGATCCATTTCACCAAGCACACCGAGCTCTTCCATGCCGACACCACTGCGTACACTTCTAAGGGTTCCGTCGTCAAATGCGCCCGAACCAGTCACAATGCGAGCCTGGCCCGAAGAAAACTCGTGTGTCTGGCTTTCACTGGTGCGGTTTCCAAGGTCCATGATGGTAAAATCAAGAATGGGCGCAATATTGGAGAGCGTCTGGATGACCTCCAATGAGCCATTGCCGATTCGAAGGACTTGCGAATCCCCTTGGTGAGATCCTACGAAGATAACTCCGCCACCAAGGTATATCAGCACCGAAGCTCTAGCCGTATTCCCTAAGTGATCAAGTTTCCAGGATTGTACTTGGTTGTTAGAATCCAGGACTAGCATCAGGAAAAACAGTCTTCCATAATCATCAGCTAGAAGCCATCTCTGACTATCTACCTGTTCCCAAGCCACGAAAATTGTCGCTTCATCCAAAGGACGCGACACAATCTCGTTACTGTCTGTATCGACATACTTAATGGACGTCTCTCCCAGAACAAGCAAGCCACCTGCACATCACAAACATATCAGCATCATTCCAAAAGCAACAATGAACCACAACAAGAGAACCACAAACCTAAAGGCGCCGGAACCGGTATCAGATGCGACGCTCCGAGGTCCAATTCCTGCGAGAACCCATCCAGCGACTCTTCAAACGCGGCATCGGCCCCCGTACTCGACGTTGCCGCACTATAATGCAACGCGCGAACCTTGAGCCTCACTTTCTTCTGATTATCCTCATACAGCAACGCCAACCTAGGCGGGCCCGACTGAACATGCAAGAAGGCAGACGAGCGCACAAACAGCTCATCAATTCTCGCCGTCGTCGGCTCCCCCAACTCCCCGACCCGAGGCGCATCCGGTCCGGAAGGCGGAGCAACCTGCCTCCCCCTCTTCTTACTCGGCAACTGCACAATCGGCACAACAGCGATCACACCCTCATAGACCTCGAGCGTCATAAACCGCCCACTAGGATCAATCAAGCACCGATTGCCCGTCTGCGCCTCCCGCGACGAAGGATCAGATATATCAACATAGTTCCTCTCCGTCCGGATCTGGTTCCTCTCCCCATCCCACGATAACGTGCAATAAGTGTATCGATCCGTCCCGACAAACAAATGATCCGTAGGCGAGTTCGCAGGCGCAGGAAGCCGAGCTAGCATTGTAACCTTGGCGAAGAGAGAACATGACGCTGCCAGGTTCAGCCCTTCCGGCGTGAGGGAGTATATTTCGAGACGGTTCGCCTTTCTATAATTCCAACAGATAACACCAATTAGTACATCATACACATAACAATTACCAAGCACTAAACAAAGAAAGGGAAAAGGGGACCACCAACGCAACAACCAAGTTCTCCTCCTCCGCATTCAAGAAATGCAACTTGAGCGCATTCCGAATGCTACTCGCCCGATGAATCGGCACCACATAAGCCATCTCCGCAGAATATTTATCAATCCCTATAAATGCAGTATAAGTATATCATATGGTCCCGAGGTTTTGCGTAGCGTATCGTCGTCGTGATGGTCCCAATCCAGCTTTTCCGCCCACTGCGGGGAACGAACGAACTGCCGTGCGTAGCGGTAAAAAAGCGAAATGTATTTATTTCTCCAGGCTCCTATTTATTTATTTATTGTAAATATTTGCTGCATCTCAATTTTACTTTTCTCCCTCGCTATGAGGAGATGAAAAGAGAGGGTTGTAATATGAAGAGAGAGGGGATGGATCAGTTGGAATGGGAGGGATGAGGATGGATGATTGCGGAGCTTTGGTTCGGGCTAGCTAGCCCAGCCTAGCCACGATGGGGGTTGGTTTGCGTGCCGGTTCTGGTTGTGCTTAACTCCGGTATTGCCGAGGTGGAGTGGGCTTACAATACTATTTCTTGTCTTTTCATTTTGTTTTCAACTTTTGCTTTTTCTTTAAGATGGGAATGCAATGTATATTCACACGTCTACTATTCGTTTAATATATACTCACTACTCCTCTTCCACGCTGTCGGGTGTTCAGAGCAGCAGGCGTCAGCTCATTTTAATAATTTTTCATGTACTTTGGATAGTTGACTAAGTAAATAAAAAAAAGGCGAAGTTATCGTGCAATTATTATGAATTCATCTTTTCGTATTCTCTGGGCCCATGCATCCAGATATCAATATGCCCAGTTCTCGCAATAATCATGATCGTCTATCCTGTTCTTTCAACGCTGGCTACCGCACTCATTCACAGCCACTGCCATGCGTGGCTGGCCGGTCGGTGCACAAAACAATAAAGTAGGCATACATGAACCACGCCAAGCAAAACAGATGAATAGGCAAAATCACCGGAGTATATATATGCAAAGATCATCTAGGCGTGAAATAAAATAATGGATCGAAAAGGCCGTCGTGATAGACAAGAAAGAAACTTCGATGCATTGAGAAATTATGACCACACGTCTTCCTGGTAGCTGCCGCTGCTACGCATGTGCTTGACCATCTCTTCGCCCTTCTCGGCGGGCAGACCACGCTGTGCAGCAATGATCTGGCCAAGCACGAGGTTAACCTCGCGAGCCATGTTTGCGGCGTCACCACAGACGTAGAAGGTAGCTTTCTGCTTCAGAAGGTCGCTGACAAGCTCGGAGTGTTCGCGGAGTCTGTGCTGAACGTAGACCTTCTGAGGACCTTCACGCGAGAACGCGGTGATGATCTTCAGGTTGTCTCCAAGCTGGTCCTGGTAGGTCTGCGAGTGCGCGATATGTTAGCATCCGATAACAAGATCATCTCGGAAAGCGAATAACTTACCTTCCATTCATCCTTGTACAAGAAATCCTCGTCGCTCTTGCGGCAACCGAAGAAGAGAACAGTGGGTCCAACCTTCTCGCCCTTGGCAGCCAAAGCAGCGCGTTCCTGGATGAACCCACGGAAAGGAGCAACACCAGTACCAGGTCCAACCATGATGATGGGCCGAGAGGGGTCAGAGGGCAGCTTGAAGTTCGAGTGGCGAACATGCACGGGAACGTGGATACCGTCGTACTTGTTCCGGGGACCAGTGATGGAGTAAGTCAGGCCGTGAGGGTCGGGAGAAGGATCGCCGTTCTGCTTCTGCTTGAGCGCGAGAAGGTAGTTCGTAGTCACACCCTTCACCATGTGAGAGGCACCGGGCAGACGAACAGATTCCACAACGGCCGTGATGCTGATCTTGTCCTTCTGGACAAGGGAAGACGAGGAGATCGAGTAGTAGCGAGGTTGCAGCTTCGTAATGCCTTCAATAAGCAGGGAGAACGGAACAGCAGAGAAAGGCTTGGACGTAATGCTCTGAAGAGCCTGGGCGATGTTGAAGCATTGGTTGGTGACCTTCTCGTGGAAATAGTCCTTGTCGCTACCCAGACGCACGATTTCTGTCTTGCTTTCCTCATCCGGAGCGAACGCGGCCAAAGTGGCTACAAACTGACGGGACACAGGGGCGCAGACTTCCATGTAGTAACGAACAGCGGCATCGTACGTGGTGGGGGTCGGGATCGGGACCTTGGCCGTAACATCGATGCCCTTAATGTTGATAACCGAATCACGCTTACCCTCGAGACCGAAAACCTGGAGGAACCGATCCACTTCGGCACCAGCGTTGGTGGGCCAAACAGCGATGTGGTCACCAGTCTGGTAGGACAAGTTACTTCCGGCGATGCTGATTTCCATGTGCAGACAGTTGCGATCCTTGACGGTGAAAAGCTCACGAGATTCGGCGATAGGGGCGATGAAGGGGTTGTGCGCAGAGTACGGGCCTTTGGGAGTACCCTGAAGGTGGCTCTGGGTGGGCTCTCCAAGGTAGACCGTCTCATCTTCGGGGCTCAGGGACTCGTTCTCAGTGACGCAGAACACGGGCTCGTAAACAGCTTCGCGCTCCTGCAGATCCATTGACTCAGACAGTGCGGCCCACATGGGCTCCTTCCAGGCCAAGAAATCCTCTTCCATTGTACCGGCACCGTCATCACCCTCACCAGCAGAACCAATACGCTGAGCGCCGAGCTTCTGGAAAGCAGCATCGACCTGACGAACCATGGCGTTGTAGTGTTCATAAGTGTTGTTACCCAGACCGAAAGCAACGTACTTCAGCTTGGACAGAGGCTTCTCGTCCGCAGAAGCGCCGCTCTCAAAAGCAACGTCGTCGCCGGTAAAGAACTGGTAAAACTCAACAGCGTTATCCGTAGGCTCGCCCTCTCCGTAGGTGGCGAGCACGAAAACCGCAACCTTATCTTCCGGGAACTGGTCCAGGTTCTCATAGTCGTATTCCTCGAGGTCAGCGACCATGGTCTTGAGGCCGAATCGCTGAGATCCTTCCTTGGCCAGTCTGGAGGCGTAATCCTCGGCGGTTCCGGTTTGCGATCCGTAGAAAATAACACAGTTCTTGCCCGTTTCTTCCATTTTCTCAATGATGTTCCGAGTCTTGCCAGCCTTGGCCGCGCCGTTCATCGCGGGGCCGGTGGAGGCATAAGGGTCTTTGGCAACTGCCCAGTAGGTGCCTTTGGTGAAGTAGGCCACGCTACCCACCAAAAGCACCGCCAGGACCACCAGATCGAGGGTATCGAGTTGCGCCATGGTGAGGCTGTTCAGCGGCGCGAAGCGAAAGGCCCCGATTTGATTTTGAATGGCGAGACTTAAAGGGTGGAGCGGGGATTGAATGGAGTGGAGAGGCGGGAAAAGGAGAGGAGGTGAAAGAAGAATGTCACACCTCCTTACGCTTAGCCTGTCCCAGGTGCGATCACCGGAGCCGAGGCAGGAACCGAGATAAGGTGGCGGCGTCCCCGAAGCCAGAGGATAAAACGGGAAGAAAGAATGACGCTATTGGGGGGGGTAAACAAGAAAAAGAAAGAAAGGGTGGAAAACAGAAGAAGAAGGAAAAATGAGGAGAAGGAAGAGGATAAGAAAGTAAGCCGTGGTGTGATCCAGGAAGAACAGAGAGGCCGAACCCACTGCTAAGCAGACCGCATAATTTGGGGGGCGTGAGCCGGGAAGCGGAAGTAGACGATCGACGGACACGAGAGGGAGAAAGAGAAACAAGAGAAAGAGCAGAGGTGGTGGCAGCCTGAGGCGATGGTGGCCTTTTCGCCTCGGAGGCTCGGTTTCGGAGATGCTGATCCTGTCCGGGTCTCTCACACGGACCAGTGATACTCCAACAACTTGTTGTCCTTCTGTTACTCCGATTTGTCGAGGACTTATCAGATCTCTCGTATCAGGGTCAGGACACACTATCCGATATTACTACACAGTAGTAGTACTGTGAGTCTGTTGGCAGTAGTAGTGTTAGACTACTACTAGACACTTGTCACTGATATGGGAAGTATCGCTAGTTAAGAGAGCGGTTGCCGGAGGGTTTCCAAAGACAACGATCTGTGACTCAAACCTTCCGAGGAAAAAAAAGAAATGTAGGGAGGATGTGTAGTACAACTCTAAATTGAAGTCAAAGTAGTAGTAATAGTCAGAGCTTCCTGATGGTCTATCTCTCTCCTTTTATTTATCTATTATACTAAGTACTACTATTGCCTTCCCTTATAGTGGGGAATTCCCATTGGCCGACCGTTGACCGAGATGGCGTCTGGTTCGGAAGGGGACTTCGGCCCTGGCTTGGCTGAGAGACGATGGAAAGTGGCGGCGGAGGCCCTTGAGCCATGAAGGCACAGCCAGTAATGACCAGTTGTTCCTCTGTTTCATCTGGGGCGATCTTCCGTAACTCGCTGCCGAGTTCCTCTGCTAACCGAGTTCCGCCTTTCCAGATCCTGTGCCACTTTCAGTAATTCTTGTGATGGACTGGCATATGAAGGCAATCTCTCTGTGCCGTTTCTCCCGCAACCCCGTGGAGGTGGCAAGTCCGGAGTGTCCGAAAATCTGGAGTTCCAGTCAAAGAACTGCGAATCATAGTTTCCTGTTCCAATTGCCAATAAGGGGAGGAAGACTGGATTCAGGTACAAGAACTTAAGATGGTTACCTACTACGTAGTATCTAATACTCGCATAGTCCATGCATATCCGATTTTCTTTATGCTTCGTATACCGACTTCAAAATACGCACACCGACAGCCAATTCTGTCAGCTGTCTGCAAGGATGCACTGGAAGACCCCATCTGCTCAATCCGCCCCCGTGCGTGTCGACTCTAAAGGCAGGTGGTGGCTGACCATGGATAATGCTGCTCGTGACTGCGGCACATCTTCTGCCTGTTTTCCGCTTTTGGAGAAGTTGCACCCGTTCCGCACTTTGTGTACTGGTTAGTGCACCAAATGCTCTGCATACACTGGCAACCCTTCTCGCGGACGAATTCCGCACCATCTTAAACAATCTGAAATTATTCCAGTGTTATCAGGTATTTAATTAGTAGAACTTAGACTTGCTGCTACACTCATGAAAGCCTGCTGGTATAGCTCGAACTTTTTTCTTCGTATTATTGGAGTAGAAGGAGTGTGTTGTGTCAGACTGTTGTGGGCTTCATGTCATCGTGCCCTGCTACTCCGTATATGCGACCCATATCTATACGAATCTTCTATTCCTAGATCTAGTCACACTGGTAAGCATGGTGCTAATGGAAAAACGGCTCTCGTAAGATCATCATCAATCGACTTATATCACTTGGGATGGAAGTTCAATTGCCAGTACTTATATCACAAGTGTGATCCTGTCCGGGAATGCTTCGCTACTATATATTGGTTTGCATTCTTCACAAGATTAATTTGCGGATCATGTTCTTGGCTGTCTCCG